TGATCCTGGTTTAAACCTGGTTGAGTCCTTCTGTCCAGGTTTAGTTCTGGTTTAGTCCTTGTTTTGATATGTTTGGATTTGGTTTAGGGCTGATTTGATCCTGGTTTAGACCCGGTTGAGTCCTTTGGTCCTGGTTTAGTCCTTGATTGGACATGGTATAGTTTGGATTTGGTTTAATCCTAGTTTAAAACTGGAGAAGTCCTCAAAAAAGTCTAGTCTAGACTTTGACCTGGTATAGTTTGCCTTTTAATATGATTTAGACCTGGTTTAGTTCTGGTTTAGTCTTGAATCAGACCTGGTTTCACCTTAATACTTTCTTTGTTTTGGTTTAGTCTTTAATTTTTAGTTGACCTGGTTTAAACCTGGAAAAAAAAAAAAAAAAAAAAAAAATTCTAAAGCCAAATATTTTCTTGAAAATCTGAGAATCAAAATTTGAAAATCAAGACATTTAAACATTATTATCCAATGTTGAAAAATTATTTGTTTAACCATTTATAGACTAAGATTCCAGTAATATGTAAATCCTTATCTCTACATTTTTTTTTTTTTCTGTTCTTTTTTTTTTTTTTTGTTTTAATTGTGTATGACTTTCTGTAAATGGTTTATTCTCAGATTATGTTTTGTATGCTATTTAAATCTTAAAAAATAAAGTAATAAAGACATGTATAATACAGTAATCTTATAGCATCTGCTCATAGGCTCATGCAGGCTCAAATGGAAGTCTAACATTACAGTGTCATTCTTCTGCATAGGTCTGTCTGTTGTCTTTCCTTTCCTCCGTGACCTAAATACAATGTTTTCAGTCAATATTTTCACTTCCTGTAGCGCTAAGTCCTCCTCATATGTAAATGGATACCCCACTCAGTATGGGAAATGGACAGAAGTGCTCCTATAGCCCGTGTATTGGAAAATGGCAGCAGCTTCACATGATATTGATGTTAAGTCAAATAGAAAAATGTAAGTATGAGAGGAAACCACAGTCTATTTTAGTGTGTTCAACTGAAAAGCTGTGGACTTACTGGGAGACTTATACATGTTCTGTACAGAGATCAGAGGAACTTCTATTTTTGACTTTTGAATGTGTTATTTATTAACACATTACTCTTTACTCTCACAAAATAACTGTCTGCCAAACTGAAGATGCTGGACTGTTACGCCGTATACGGACTGAACCAGGACTAAACCAGGACTGAACCAAGGACTGAACCAGGAGGACTAAACCAGGACTGAACCAAGACTAAACCAGGACTGAACCAAGACTAAACCAGGGCTGAACTGGGATTAAACTGGGACTAAACCAAGACTAAACCAGGACTAAATCGGGTCTAAACGGGGACTAAACCAGGGACTAAACCGGGTCTAAACCAGGTCTAAACCGGGACTAAACCAGGACTAAACCAGGTCTAAACCGGGCCTAAACCAGGAATAAAACAGGACTAAACCGGGTCTAAACCGGTACTAAACCGGGACTAAACCAGGACTAAACCAGGTCTAAACCAGGACTAAACCAGGACTAAACAGGACTAAACCAGGTCTAAATCAGGACTAAACCAGGACTGAACCAGGTCTAAACCGGGTCTAAACCAGGACTAAACAGGGACTAAACAGGGACTAAACCGGGACTAAACCAGGACTAAACCAGGACTAAACAGGACTAAACCAGGTCTAAACCAGGACTGAACCGGGTCTAAACCAGGACTAAAACGGGTCTAAACCGGGATTAAACCAGAACTAAATCAGGTCTAAACCAGGACTGAACAAGGTCTAAATTGGGTCTAAACCAGGTCTAAACCAGAACTAAACCGGGACCAAAACAGGACTAATTTTGGACTAGGACTTGGAATCTAGGACCGCCCCTGAGAGAACCCTGAGCCCGTGGAGCAGGGTGTCCCCAAAAGCGAGATCGGGTGTCAGCTGCGATTAGCCCCGTTCGACGCAGAGTTCTGCACTGGTTCTTTCACCTGCGGTCACCCAACGGTCTACGTGGGCGCACCACCGTTCAGTACCGTAACGATGGTATTTCCCATCGCAGTGATTTTAGCGAATTTGTATGAAGAAAAATGAAAAACCCATCACTTCAATCCAGGTTAAAAATGCATTGTAACGTGCAATACTGACATTTGTACCAAGTAAAATATTACAGTTTTTTCCCTGTAATGCCTTATATTACTGCGTTACACCGGGATAAGTCTCAGGTGTCGTCCGTTTGTTTCTCTTAATGCACCTTATAATCCACTGCGATTTATGTATGAAAATAGACGAGAGAATTCAACATTATTGATATTGTGCCTTATAATCTGGTGCGCCTTATAGTACAGTAAATACGGTACATTAAAATTCAGCACATATTCTTGTATATATTATAACATGATTGATTTGGTGATAGATTTTGTGATGTGAGCCCTTGACAGATGATTGACAGCTGGTTTGACAGGACGGGTGCTCTGATTGGACAGCTGGCAGGTGGGACCGGTGCGGCAGTTGTGACACTTCCTGTTTGTTGGCTCTGAATGATATTATGGCCCTGGACGCAGCTGTGAAAAATACATCTCTTTGGCTGAATGAGAGCGCAGAGAAACTGTCAGTCATAAATACTGAGTTTGTGGAGAAAACAGGAATGTAGGAGGGAGTGAAATTCTTAGTGCATATGACAGGTTTGACTATTGATTTCACTAAAACCGAGGTTAGGATCATTATATTTTGATTTTAAATAGAAATGTAACCAAATTGTTGATATATAAAGCTGATATTTAGACGTTTAAGCACATGAGGTATGGGCCTTAAATATCTTGTTTTGGTCAAACTGTTGCCTAACACAGACCTTTATATTAAGACGTGTGCTGCACAAAATATGACTACACAGCTTTCGTAAAGGTTTATGGTGAAAACGGGCACTGACTGAGTTCATAGCAAAGTCGAACTTGTTTATAATTTGGGGAAAATAATCATAATCGGTCGATCTCTAATTTCAAAGGTCCTATATTGAGCAAAATTAACTTTATGCCATGTTATACTACTGTTAGTTCATCAAAAACATCCCTGCAGTTGTATTTTGTTTCAGTCACACATTTTGAATGGGTCCTTAAATAAAAATCTTGCCTAGATTTTCTACTTTTTCATTTTACTTTCTAGTTTGACAAGGCAGCAGAAATACAGATATATATGTAGAGTTAATCCTATAACTGTTAGCAAATATTAAAACTTGTCTACACAATAGTTATAATTAGACTAAATTTAAAAAAAAGAGTTAAATGAAGATTTAAACTCAAAATTTCATAAAATTCCTTGTTCCTTGCATGTAAACTGTCCCTGAATTTTTTTTTTGCAGCTGATAACATATTTTTGTACTTTCCTTTTTAACTTTATTTTTCCACAAACTGTCCCTGAACTCAGGTCAAACTAAAATATTTATATTCATCACAGGGATCCCACCAAAATATGCACTTTGAAGTTTTAGCATTTCTAGTGGGAACAGCCACCTGCTCGTCTCCACGGAGATGTTTTTGCTTTACAGCTGCAATAAAATAATATACCACCATTTAGACAAGCAGGTGTCGTGATCAGGCCAAGGTACAAGTCAGATCTGTGGAGAGGTTACCCTGGTTTTACTTTATCATTACAATAACTCTTTATATTGTGAAATCCGTACCATTCACCTATAACAATTTGTACACATGGACTGTATAAAGAAGTGGACTAAGGGACTATAGCGTTTGGCTCCAGTCAAATGAAGCTCACAAGGCTAGCAGTTATTAGAGAGAATTTGGGCCTAGTTCCATAGTAGGATTAAGATTTGATTTACAAACAAAATAGTAAAATAAGGATCATATAGAGTAGGTTAAAAAGGCTACTTCAGACTGCAGCCTGAAGTCACCCTAATCGGATTTTTTCGCCCCTGTGCGACCTGTATCAGATCTTTTAAGGACAGTCTGAACGACACAGATCCAATTTTTTTTTTCAAATGCAACTCAGGCCACTTGGATATGTGCTCCTAAAACTGATACATATCCGATTTTTTGACGTGTGACTTCAGTCAGAACGGCCAGGTCACATTCATCCCACATCAATGTAGGGAAAGCGAGGTTAATTAATATTTGGGGGGATCGTTGTATTCAAGCCAAATTGGAAGGGTCTTATCGAAATGTCAACAAAACTAAAGAGCCTGCAAGTCAAATACAAGGAGGCTAAAGTCTCAAACAAACGAAGCGGCCGTGGACGTGTAACCTGTCCATTTTACAAAGAACTAGACCAGGGGTGGGTAAACTTTTTGACTCGTGGGCCACAAAGGTTCTAAAATTTGATGGGAGGGCCGGACCAGGAGCAGATGGATGGAGTTTTTTGGTAATCCACATGGGATATGTAGGAAACATTTGTTACTGAAATACCCCATCAGTGAAAATCATTACAAAGCATGACAACAAAAAATATCTGTCCCACAGTATTTACAATTTATTCAAATGACTATTATTATTGAAGTTCGTCAGGCCGGATTAAAAAAATTGAAGGCCCCCAGGTCATAATTTGCCCATCCCTTAGACCATTAGACCGTATTTTGGGAGACAAATTCAGCATTTAGGCAACTTCCGTAAACACTGAGCTTGTTGGGTGTGATGTCGTTGTGTCCTCCAATGCGCATGCGAGACGCTTTTGAGGCGTTTAAAGTTCACACTGGAGATCACATATTTGGAAATGTGAACGACCTTTCAAAAAAAATCTGATTTTACAAAAAAATCTGAATTAAGCATTAAGCCCTGCAGTCTGAACGTGGCCTGTGAACATTTTTAGACAATGAGAAAGAAAATGATGAACCTGACAGCAGCGTTTACAAAAAGAGACCAATATTTTTCAATACAAAGTGAATCAGAGCCAGAGTCGATGGAGTCGAAGTGCTCCCATGCTCACGGCGGCTAGCAGGTTCACTATGTCCATTTATATATACAGTCTATGTTTGTACATTTCAGATCTCGTTCTCATTTTACTTTACAGTTTTTTTTACTCACATGTCGCTGGCTATGGAGGAGTTTCTGGACATGGACTTGGGGGAGAGGTCATAGTCGGAGTCGGAGCGGTAGAGGAAGGACTCCCTCCTCTGGCTGTGCACAAAGTTGGCCTGGAGGATGAGCCCTGAACCCGGACTGGCCATGGGGTCCAGGGGGCTGCGGCCAGACGACGTGCCATTGTCCACGTCGAAACTGCAAAATACACAAACAACAGAGAGAAACGTTAGGGATGGGATGATCTTAGCCATATTGTGATGCAGTAGTAGTAGTAGTAGTAGTAGTAGTAGTAGTAGTAGTAGTAGTAGTAGTAGTAGTAGTAGTAGTAGTAGTAGTAGTAGTAGTAGTAGTAGTAGTAGTAGTAGTAGCCAGTACCCTGTGAGCTGGAGACATTTGTCACACTGAGGGACACTGAGGAGGGAGGTCACTGGACAAACTGCTCTCCATCATGGACACTCCTACTCATTAACTGACTATAGAATGACATATAATACTCCCTACAACTGTACAACTCACCCACTGCACCAGACTATAGAGGGACACAGGAACTAATTCTTCATCAAGCTTATGTAAAACATAATACTCCCTACATCTGTACAACAACTCACCCTTATGTAACAGATAATAGATAATACTCCCTACAAGCGTACAACAACTCACCCTTATGTAACAGATAATACTCCCTACAACTGTATAACAACTCACTAGATAACTAGAATTTATTATTACCATTTAAATTTTTGCTCTTTGTTATTATATTTATTGTGATGTTTGAGCTACTGTGTCCAAATAATTTCCCTTGTGGATCAATAAAGTTTGTCTAGTAGAAGTAGTAGTAGTACTAGTAGTAGTAGTAGTAGTAGTAGTAGTAATATAAGTAGAAATAATGTCATTGGAGGGTAATCCAGGAAGTGCTCCTCAATGTTTATCAAGTCCCTTCACCTTCCCCAAAGTCAGTCTAATCATACTCTAATCACCTCGGACGAGATACAGCTCGACTTCCATGATTGCATTGTTCTGGATCGTCATATTGTGATTCACTATTTCTCCACTTCTCATATTAGTTTGTCTCTGTAAGGCTCTGGGTGAGTGACAGAGACTAAGATCATTTGTGCTGAGCAAGCAAATTTAGGTATCAATAAATTATAATATTATATTATGTTCTTATGTGCTGCAGATTTTTTTTAATGACAGTAATGAAACTGATACAGTTGCTACTTTTTGATACTGCGGGATACCGTAATACCGCCCAAGCCTATTATAGTGTGTAAAATATGAAGACATCTGTTTAAATGTGTTTTTTCCAAAGACAAAAGACACATTATCTGACTATAACAGTGTGTCTAGATTTCCTTCCAACCACAACAAAAGAATGTAAACACACAAAGGATACACACGCAGCTTATCTCAGGCTATGACAATTTTCAACAGAATTGCTACATTATCGGCGTCCAAAACCAGTCGTGCCATAAACCACTGACAAACAGATAAAGATGACTGAATAAAGCTCAAATTAAGCTCCAGAATATGCATTTCCTCTGACCTGTCATGTCCCAGCCAATCACAGCCCGCTTTCTTTATCCATCGACCAATCACATTTTAAACTTGCAGTGTTGGGATGTAACTAAATATTTAGAAGTACCAGAAAATAAGTATTCTCACCCCATCTTCATTACAGTAGTAAAACAATCAGCCTCATCAACCTTTCGATCTCTTCTCTATCACAGAACATCACAAAACTTTTTTGGGGGGTGTAATTACTCAAAAATGGACTTATGTTACTTTAAAATGCCAGTATTAAAAGTATTTTCTGATTTTCTGATCTATGTTATAATATCGTTTCCTCATCACAAACAGACCTGGAGTTGTGTTTTGTTTCATTCACACATGTTTAACACACAAATCTGCATATTTAGTCTGAATTCTTCTCGCAAACAGAAAAAAACACGCTCCACCTTGTGATGTCATGTAGTAATACAGGAAGTGCTTCAGTGTGTTTTTAACCCTCTCCAGGCAGGCGTTGCAGATTTGCAACAGCTAAATTCCAAGTACCTACTTACTCCACATCCATATTATATGAGCTTTTTTTACTCAGGAGCCTTTTTTCCCATCCATGCTGATAAACGTGGACGATGCAGACTGTGCAACAATGGCTACATGCAAACGGCCTGCCAGAAGTGCAAAATACTTTTTTTGTTTACAAAGGATAAAAAAGTCAGAATTGTATATTACTACCCCATATTATAATTTTCCCCAAATATCAGATTTTTCCTGATACTAAAAATTAATTTGAGCCTGAGAGGGTTAAACTCCATACACTTTCACTAAAATCATTTGGATTATTTCAGTCCAGGACTTGCCAATCTCGGCTGAATTAAAAAGTAAAAGGTAACTTGAAAACTACCTCTTCATGACATCACAAGGTGGAACAGAGCATTTTGAGGTCTATAGATGCAGACAGACTAGTAATGAATGGTTACTCAAACATGTGTGAATGAAACAAAATACAACTCCAGGTCTGTTTTTGAGGAGGTAACAACATTCTAACATGGCTTAAAGCTCACAAGAATCAATTTTCATGTACCTTTAAGACAGGGGTCATCAAACTAAGGCCCACGGGCTGACTCTAGCCCACCACGCCCCTTTGACCGGCCCCCCAGCCCCTCTGCCTCCCACCATTTGAACTGGCCCTATGAGGCAGTCCTCAAAAGTTGTCATGGGGTATTTTTTTAATTACGTTTTGTCAAATAATAACTTGAATTTGAATTTATTTGTTTGGAGGATAAGCCCCTTGAGATGTGTCATCATCTCGTTTTCAAGGGGGTCCTATAACACGTCTGCATCTTGTATTTTGTTTAATTTTTTTTTCAATAAAAAATGTATATTTATATGATTTATTTGTATTCATACTTAAATAAGTATATGACGTATTTAGATTTGCCGCCAAATTTTCATCACCTGACAAGCTCAAGATCAAACAGTGACAGTCAACACACAAGCGGATTTCTGTAGTGCAACTAAGGACAGCAACATGGCGAGTATTAAAGTACAAAAACTTAATAGAGAATTTGTCTGATATGTAAAGAAAGTGTGGTGATTTTCAATGAATATAATCTGCATCATCAGGGTCATACAGTTCTGTTATACAGCACAGTCAAGAGCGATAATATGGCCCCCAGAGAAAAAAGTTTGGTGACCCCTGCTTTAAGGATTTGTCTTGGGCGGTTACAGCCAATACGTCAAATCAAAATCTTATCTAACATTAAATTATATAGCTACATTGTTAAAAGGGTGAGCAAAAGCTGATATTATCGGTTCCTGCATCAAGCTCAACAATAGAAGGAAATATGCGAATGTCCCAGTTCTTAACAATAGAAAGTAGAGATTTTGGGGAAGACAAACCCCTCAGAATTTTATATCGCGTGACAACTTTTCAGAGGTTTTATAAGGTTACATTGGCGTGGCTCATTATAGCTGATAAATTATTCGTCATTAAACCTTTCTATCTTCAGGGAGACCAAACCAGACCAAGTTACAGGTCAGATCTGCGGAGAGACGACCCCGCTCACAGTCAGAATGCAAGTTTTTTGAGGTATTTTTGAGCTATGAAACCACTTGTAGTTTAATAAATGTAAGAAAGAGCTGTTTAATGCCATACTGCGGAACATTCCAGGCTAAGCAGTGACATATCCATAGAAACAAGCAGGTGACGGACCCTCCACCCGGAAAAGATACACAATGCAGTTTTAACTTTAAAAGAAATAATTGCATGCATGAAATGAATGAATACTAGTATTTGTAAAGTGCCAATCGCTAGAACTGCCTCTGCTTTTTAATAGTAGCGTTAAAATTGCTAAAATGCAAATTATGCAGGAAAGGACAGCTCATAAGTGTACGCTAAAATCACAGAATTACTGTTTGTACCTATTAGATAAAAAAATAAATAAATAAAAATGGGTAAAAAGGGAAACATTCTCGAACTAGAATCATAGTTTCAAAAATCTATGCCAAAAACTGTGCCAAATCGATTCCAAAACCGTGACTACTGAGAGCTGAAGGTACTGTCAGGTCTCCATGGAGATGTTATTGCATTGCCTGGAATGTTCCACAGTATGACATTAAACTTATCTACAGAAACATACGACCAAGCCAAGTGCGACGCAGCTTGCAGCAAGAATATTTCAAGCCACAAATCAATGCAAACTATAGATAAGTTTAATGCCATACTGTGGAACATTCAAGGCAAAGTAAAAATCATCTGTATCAAGATAAGCAGGTACAGTCCTCCAGTTACAGTTACACATAAAATTTCACAAAAAGTGTTATTTTAACTATTTGAAAGTTAAATGGGGATTCGAGTTGGGGTTATTTGAGTTGATATGGTTGAATTTAATTAAACTTCCCCTAGTGTTCATTCAACTTCCCTTGGTGTTAATTTAGCAGCTCCCACCCACCACTTCAAACTGCCGCGAGATAAGACCAGTTTGAACCAGTTTTGTACATCATTTCATTGTAAATTAACTAAAACGAAGTGTAAAAATACACCACCTACATATGTGTGTTGTTTAGCTAAATCAGGATAACCCTACAAAGTGTTACCCGTTTACTCTCAAAACATTAATATAACTCTTGATTTAAGGGTTAAAAGGAACCTTGGTCCAGTGTTACTTAATTAACATTTTGAAAAGTGTTAAATTAACTCTAGAACAAATTGAGACCCTGAGAAAATGTTAAAATTGATTCAGTGAGAGTCAATTTTAACACTCTTTGCTGTGTACATATGTTAGCTTTAATAAGTGCAAACTATAGATAGGCTTAATGCCTTATTGCGGAACATTCAAGGGAAAACGATACAGTCTCTTTAGCACAGCAAGTTTGTGAAACCAGTGAGATTTCTTTCAAAAACAGTGAATCACACGTTGAGTTTTAAGCCTCTTACAGCGTGACAGCAATTTCTGAAACGTGACCCCCGCCTATCCATTGTTTTTTTAAGGGTAGTTGCCATAGTGATTAACAATTCAAACCAAAAAAAAAAAAAGTATAGTATTTGACTAAGAGTAAATTCAACTGAAAATGTTACACGTAAGAGGCAGCACGTAGTCTTTAGCGTGATGTGTTTTTTCCATACGTTGCTGCTGTCACCGGGTCAGATAGCGAGGGGCTGTGAACGTACAGCATTCCCACACATGCATGAC